TGTTTAAATGCTTTTTAACCCACCCAAGGGGTTTTAACAAGGCTGTAAACTGTCTAAGTAAAGGAAGAGCAGATTATAGTTATCAGAACTCCAGAACAGTGAACCAGAGCAAGCCCTGTAACCCGCCTGATCATTTATCATGTATAATGCACGCAGCCCATTTTGTTTGATCATTATATTAAAATGGCTGCAAGTGCAGAAGCAGTCCTCACTAAGACAGCCTTGGTAATTTTGGGAGTAGCAGGCCCATTGATCGATTGGAAGCAACTCCACTGACTAGATGATAAATCTTCACCACATCAGACTCCAATACAACCAGAAAACTCAATTCTGTTTTACATGTTCTGCTATTTTTCATGTGGAGCGTGCTTCAGTAGCCATTACTAACAGTTTTGATGTTAAGGTCACAGAAGTAGGTTTGAAGCTGTCAGTCCAGAGGTCACGTGAAAGGAAAGCAGGGAAATGTCTGTGACAAAAGTACTCAGATGACAGGAATTGAGTGCATTATATAGGAAGCGTTTGTAGTGTTTGACCAGAATAGTCATCAGTTTTTATCTAATATGTCACAACAGACGTAGGTTTACTTCTGAAATGATTTTTAGTAAAAGTGTTCTACAATGTAATAAAACACAAACATGACAAAAATTCCAACCTTTGGAAACTTTAATATTAAACTAGTTTCCCACCATTTAGCCTATGAGGAAGTAAATACGCCAACACTATAATTACTGCTATTTTGTGTATACTATAGAACGTATAAGATCATAGAATCAAAGCTACCTGTTTTTCTATCCCACTGCCCTACCTTATCCCCATACCCTTTCCAGCCTCTGTCTTTCATATACCCATCGACTTCCCTCTTGAAACCCCAATTTACTCTACCTCTATCACAGTACTTCGTAAGGTATTCCACATCCTAACAACTCTCCTTTTGTTGTTCTCATGGCTATCTTATATCTATGTCTCCTAGACACTGGCTCCCCTACTAGCTTTTCCCTCTTCACCCTGTCAAAACCCTTCATCATGTTGTACACCTTTATCAGCCCCCACTCAATCTTTTCTTCTCCCAAAAAAACTCCAATCTCTCCTCATAACTGTAGCCCACCCGTTCCCTTGTATCATTCTTGTAAATCTCTTCTGCACCCTTCCAAGGTTGCAACATCATTCCTGAAGTGAGGTGCCCAAAACTGAACACAGTACAGGGTACTGAGATGATTTTTGTACACATGCAATTGAGTGCACGGACAGAGATTTTTTTAAAATTAATTGATCTGTAAGCTTCAAATAATCCAAAACTGCAACCTGTGGTCTAACCTACACCACACTCAAAGCATCGTTGATATCACTTCATAGAGGGAATGACGTCATTGGCACTTCCTGCACATAGTTCGTAGGCACAGCGTATAATTAATTGGCTTTAGCGGCACTTCCTGTGCATAATATGCAGGCAAAATGATGCAACCCGGAAAACTGATATTCGGCCATTACTTTTGAGTCTCGCTTTTAGCACAACTGCTGAGACATTGAACACAGCTGACCATGCTATAACAAAGGTTTCCTGTATAAACTGGGCATAAATATTTGTACATTTCTGTCGTCTTCCATAAATATTAATGCAACTAAAAACCCAGTAAACCCAGTTGCTTTAGGACCTGAAGGATTGGAAAGTTAACAGAGCTGTATTCTACATTCTACTCCTACTAGACTTCCACTGCAGTAGATGCCAGTGAAATGTTAAACAATTTTAAGATCTCACATTTTATGAGCCTGACGTGTTTTAAATTCCAAAGTAAATGCCATTTCCTCCTCCTTGAATGAAAATAGTGTTTTTGTGTCATGCAGCTGAAGAAAGCTTCCAGATCCAAGGACAAATGTCAAAATGAAATCAAAACAAAAATATTTCCACCCCATATAAAAAAAACTATAATTACAAACCATTTTAAATGATGGGACTTTAACACTGCATTAAAATGTTAAAGCTGCTGAAGTGTCAGAGTACATCTGGAACATCTTCTGAAGTGGAATGAATAAGTATTAAAAGTGTGTTGCGTCTTTGCATTCAAACCCCACAAGCATTAAATATCTATTCTGAAGTAAAATAACGGAAACTATAATGAATGGGTTATAGGATATGATGTTATAACTCTCAAAAATATGAAAGCTGATTTCTCTGAATCTACATTTCCTTCACTTGTTACTTCACACAATCTCGCTGTATCAGAGCACGCCTCTTTCTCGCTGTCTATTTACACGGCACTGCTAGACAACGATGTAAACATCCCTGTACTTGATAAATGGATATTTCTGAATACCCACAGCCTTCCTTCCCCAATTTACATGTGTTGTAGTTTTTTTGCTAAATATTTAGACACTTCTGCAAATACCTCAACATTATGTGTTTACATGGGAAATGGCACATAATCATTGTCACTGTGCTACATATTGTTTGCAAAGGCTGTCCAAATCCAGAGAACCTGTATTCACTGCCAGTTTAAAAAATGAACAACTCGCGCCCGTTTGCCAACCAGTTTTCAAATGGCAAAATCTTTGCGTTTCTGACATGATTAATGGTCAGACACAGAATTAAAAGGGTAGAATTGGAATAGCAGTTGAAAAATATTAGTGAGTGCAATTTGTTCCTAAATCAGGGATCATCCCAAAATGTGTTACATTTTGCAGGAAGACTTTTCAAAAATGGATAAGTAAACAGGAATAAGTGTCACATTCCAGCCTGCAGTGAATACAAGTTCTCCATACTTCCGACATATTTTTCAGCCAGCATGCTTCACCTCTGCCAAGCACATGAGATAGAGACACAATATATTTTTACATACTAACAAATTATTCACTCCATCTCAGGATTAAAAAAAAATCACGAATACTTCAATGTAGAGTGTATGATACACACAAAGTCAGATAAATCGCTGTCAGGCAATGTCATGGAAATAGTCCTTCTGGATACAGGAACCACTAACAGAACATACATCAATTTGTCTCTAACAGAAAAGTGATACAAGCCATTCTCTTACAGCATGTTCCTTGCGAGAACATGCTTTTGTAAGGCTTCTAGAAAATAACTTCTGGCAAGAGGCTAGTATTTAATAATATTACAAGTTCTGTTTTCTTGTCAAAGTAAATAATCTCAATCAAACATTTTCTGCTAAAAAATTTGCTAAAATAGTGCGAAACTTAAGATCGCCAAAGACGAACGGAAAAAGTTAATTCCAAATAAAAAGGCAATACAACTGCGGGGAGGGAAGAGGAAAGAACATGATGTGTGATATTAAACATTTTTCCCACGATAAGTGAACCTTGAACTTTGAGTGCTAACTAGTGAATTCAATATATTGAAGATACAGTAAATGTTAAATCTTTTCAACAAGAATGTAAAGCACCCTGAAATATGAAATACCAGGTAAAATTAGGAAGCAAGATGTTTATTCGTTTACCTTGAGTTATTGTCATGGAGTGAAGCAATCAGCATACTGGTCTTTTATACCACCAAAAAGGTCACACACTGTCATTTTAAAAGGGCTGACTCCTGGGTCTTGATCCCGCAGTTCTACAGTACTATGTTTCGCCACCAGAGGCCGTTCTTGAACTACTTAAATAGTAAAACGCCCTCCGGAGACAGAAACCTAGAATTTTAGTTTATGGTATTTTAGTTGGTATTTTAGTTTATTCCACAGGTCCAACTGGAACACTGATATTTGCAGTGAACCTGGGTCTAATCACACATTCACTCATCATGTCTTAAAGTACTAGCTATTTAAGCTTTTCATGCAATTTTGTAAAAGCACCAATTAAGGACATGACTGAGGTTATTTCAGTTGTATATTTTTTCGACAGAAATTTTAAGCTAGCTCTAGATTTCACTAAAATCTTTATCATGCTATAATTTTTGACGTTATATATTTTGACATATATATTGCTACATCTTTTGCCTTCTGTCTTTGTTTTATTTTCTAAATGATCGTTTGATGTCTGGCTGCTGGAACAATACTCCTCCCCACACCCAGGAAAGTAGAAATTCTTCTCTGATGCAATCAATTGGCTACCACGTTTCACCCATAAATGTACAGTCAATTCACTTTACAGTATATTCTGTGAAGTGCTTTGAGAAGTCTAGAAGATGTGAAAGGCGCTATATCAAAATGCAAGGATTATTATTTTTATTTATTATAATTTTCAGAGTTGGAATTAAACTCTTTTTGGTTACCAGAGATACTCCCATTATGAATATTGTGTTTTAAACTTGTAAGCTCACATTACACTAAGAATCTTCCATGCAGCCTCACATCAGGACTTTGAATTCACAGTCCAGGCTGACTCAGCAGTAAAGTGTTAGGTTTGCATTATATTTGTCAGAGGTGCCATCTTTCAGATGAGACATTAAACCAAGACCGAAATACTGCAGATGCTAGAAATCTGAAACAAAAACAGAAGTCACTGAGACTTCTGCTCTGACGAAGGGTCGTGGACCTGAAATGTTGACTCACTTTCCTTTCTCGCTAGATGCTGCCTGACCTGTTGAGTTTCCCATTAAACCAAGATCCCGTCCGTCGATTCAGGTGGATTTTAGAAGATCCTATTGCACTATTTGCAAAGAGAAGGGAGTTTCTCTCTGTGTCCTTCCCAAATATCCTCCAGAAAACATTAGTCATTCACTTTACAGCTGTTTATGGGACATTGTTGCGTGTAAATTAATTGCTGCAATCACCTACAAATTAGTCACTGCAGTTTGCAGCAAAATCCTATAAAGCACTTTGAGATGACATCCTCATGTGAAATATCAAATGCAATGGTTATTTTATTATTGCCAGGTGTATATCCAGAGCTCAGGTTCCTTGCAAGCATTTGGTCATTTGGATAATTATATTTAAATAATTACATTTGAATAAGTATATTTGAAATTTGAGCAAATTAAGGGTTTGAAAGTGAGAGACCATTTCATAAAAATATGAAAGAAAGCTCTTTTTGAAGCCTTTTTCTCTACTTACTGTTGGTATTCTCTCCGATACTGTGGTTCTTCCCATTCCAGTACCAAAGCAGGAGAGTTGCATCCCGTGAGCCAGAGAGGACATAACAGTCACCTCCAATGTAGGATTCAGATCTCGCTAAACAGGTCACAACATCCCAGTGTCCAAAAACCACTTGAGTGAGTTTTCCTTTGTGGAGAAAAAAAGAAAAATATTCATTATGAACACAATCTTCATTTGTAACACTTCAGCTGTTGGATTCACAAAGATGTATGTATTGGCTTTTTTTAATTTATTTTTATTCATCTTAAGCAACATTCTTATATCAAATTGTAATACTTCAGCAACTACAGCAAACCTTTCAGTCTCACAAACAAAATAAAATAAGCCAATACATAGCATAATATAAATTATCTAACAGTTTTCATTAGATACTTGGAAGATTCAGGAAATGTATTCTAATTAAGAGTCACACTTGAAATGTTAACCTATTTTCTCTTTCAAATGCAGCAACATCTATTTGAAGGAGAGAGTTCCATTTGGACACAAAAAATGTCTGAATGCTCACAAGATTACACTAATCTGTGTTTTTTTTACTGCCAGGGGCTCCAATGCAATTTGTAGTGCCTGAGCCCCATTTGTCCTGCATCTCTGCAGAGAATCCCTGCCAGAATTCCTGTCAAACACACAGTACAAACACAGTGTTAATACAATGGAAGAAAGACTGCACAGCCACATTTTAGGTGGAAATACACTTCTTCTAATCATGTTGAAGGAAAGACCACCATATGGAATTGTGGCATGATGTGAAAGTGGCAGCAATGCTCTGGCTTCATTCCAGAGGAATCTTGGTTGCCCTTAAGGTTTTGCATGCAATCAAACAAAATTATTAAATTTAATAAAATGACCTTTTCTCTCTTAGAACCTCCAATGTCTCAAATCAGCTCTAGTAAGGACAGGTGGGATGATCCACTCCCAGGCCTATGTCAATTCTGCTCCAGATCTGGGTGCTTGGATGTGCTCAGTGTAAGCTGTTATTTGTGTGGGGAAGAGTTCAGCCTTTGTTCTCTAATTCACCATAGTGACAGCTGAATCAGGAGCTCACCATGTACAGTAAAACCATACACTGCAGGACATCAGAGCTTCTGAGACAAGTGACAAATTAAAAGCTTACGTGTTAGTATGTTTGCAGTCACAGATATTTAAATACAAGTACATTCACTATTGAATCGACTTTCATTTATTCTACTGGCCAGCAGTCTGATGAAAGGGGCAAATGCAACTTCAAGTTCAGGTGCAGTGAATAGCCCACTTGGCCCAATGCTTCTTGTCTGTCTAACATAGATCGGAACAAATTCAGAGAAGGTGCAGCTTTTAGGTTGTGCTCCTGACCCAAAAATGTCAAAATGCTTCAGGAAGTAAAACTGATTGAGCTAGACTGTTTCTTGTAGCTAAACTGGAATGAATGCTTTTGAAATATTTAATTTAAAGGATTCAGTCAATCCAGAGAGAGATGAAACACGGTTATTGCTGCGGGCAATGGTTTCCATTGATTTGAAAGTCACGTTTAAATTGCTCATTAGAGGTTAAACACAGGAAGATTAGTGCTTAGATTTGTGCTGAACGTGGGCAATTGTATTCTAACAGGACTGTTATTCTATTTGGCTCTCCACTAAGAAAATTATTTTATCAGATTCTAATATTCTGCAGGAGATGATTGAACCGGAATGAAGGATTTTGTCCAAAGTTCACAATTAATCTGTAAACCGAGAGGTCGAATAAAGAGCTTGAATGACAAAACTGCTGCTTTTCTGGCGCTTACCAAAAAANGCACCTCACCATATAAAGTTTGCGTTCAGCACTGTACAATTTACAAGGATTCTGGGAATCTACTACTAAATAAATGCAAGTTGTTGCGTTATTCCCAGATCTCGACTCTGATGAGACCTTCAGTCTCCTGAGTCAGTGTGACACATAGGGGATTCCCTGAAAAAAACATCCTGAGGTGCTTGTTACTCCAGAAAACCAGCAAGTTTTCCTGGTCACTTTTTCAACCCCCAAACTGTTCACTTTACCCATTCTGATCAGGTGTCCAGTGAGTACCTAACCCTACTGGAGTCCTATATAGTAATGAGAATATTAAAACAACAACTTGCATTGACATAGCACCCTTCACGCAGGTTAGTATCTCAGAGTGCTCAGAACATTTCCCCATTGCCTGAAAGAGCGGTGGAAGCCGATTTGATAACAACTTTTAAGAGAGAAGTAGATAATTATTTATGGAGGAAAAGTTTGCAGGGCTATGGGGAGAGAGCAGGGGAGTGGGAATGATTTGGACAGCTTATTTAAAAGAGCCGGCACAGACACGCTGAGCTGAATGGCCTCCTTCTGTGCTGTATAATTCTATGATTCTATGTTTGTTCACAAGCCACAATATGGGTCACTTCATGCAAATTTGTATTTAATTGTATTCCAGATCACATGAAATCCCCCGAACCAATGAACTACATCTCTCTTGCTAGCCTGTTTAGGGTACTTTCTCATTCCTAACTGTACAGATATTGATATTTCATGTCTATCATTCAGAAAGCATTTTTTTCCATGGTTCTCTTCCCAGCTGTCATGCTCTCAGTAATTGACAATTGTTATTACTTGCTGCTGGGTAACCTACAGCCAGATTGCTAAACGAATAGTAGCTGAGTGGTTTAAATGAAATTGCAGATCAGTCTGAGATTTGGATTCACAGTCAGTGTTAAATACATCAAACAAACCAGTTACAAATGCAGTAAATTAATATTATTAGTGATGAAAGTCGGGACAGTACCTTAATACTTTCAGCTGTTAAAAGGTATAACCTCTCTCTCCCTCCTCTCACTCAAACACTTTTTTGACCAGTGACTGACTATAGTACACTTTGTAAACACAAACTGGGCATATCTTAGCAGTAAGATGCACAGTACAAACTGTTCTTTGCAAAATGTCACTTTGAAACCCTGTCTTTGGAAACAAAATGTATTTCAAAGGATTAGTGCATTGTGGGGTTCAGTTTCCATTTTGTCAAGCAATGATGCTTGTCATTACATTTCATATCAGTAATTCACTATGAAATATTTGGTAATGTGTTTTTTCAACCTTCTTCCTTAATAAAAGAGTTCATTTTTCTTGGATACAGTTTCAAGGTTGCCACCAGCCATTTGATACCAAAGTGGCCATTGTTTAGGTGTCAATTTAGATAGTGAGGGTCTGCAGGATATTCAACAATCCAAGACAACTAAAGGTAAGCGCTTCATCCTGGTTTCATTGAAAGTGGCCAGGAGTGAAAACACTGGCTGATTTTTTCCCTGCTCCCTAGACCAGAGGCATTCAAAACAATTGCAACTGTTGTCCTTGCTGAAGTCAGCTAACAATACATATATTCAAACATATAATTTTCCGCATGGCTTTGTTTTACAGCAGGAAGTAGCTTTACCCACCATCTCTCGAAGGAGGCCTCATATTTAATCACTATTTAATAAATGTGCAATTTGATACAGAAATGTTCAATAAAGTTAATAAAACGCAGATTGTGTCCAGGATTTCTAGAATCCATTAATGAATTCATGAACTCTTTTGAAAACTATACATTAAACATAGGAAATGTCAAACTAAACACTGGAAACCCCATTAAGTTGCAATACATTCACCCAATACCGAGCATGCAAGTAGAAGAAAATCTCAATAATGTTTGTAATGTGTTCCTATATTTAGTGTTTTCTGAATTAAATCAATAACTGGTTACAGTTATTATTCTGTATGTTCAAATGGTTAATTTTCTAATTGTAATTTCATGTTTTAAGCTATTTCCAATTTAAAAATCTAGGATTATTACTCGGGAGGGCAATAAAGCCCCATATTAAATGGAGCTTTTCCCATTTGACTGAGAAGAATTACATGTACCAGAACAAGCTGAAATGGGAGAACCAACATAAAAGATCTCAAGAATGACTATTGTGCTAACCACGTGATATGTGTATAGGACACAGTAGTGAGGAATGAGCTGTCATCTTGAATTTAGGCAAGTTTCTGGACTGGGGATGCATTAATGAGACCATACACTTAATAGGTCAAACTGAAACAAAAATGCTTAATTAGAAGGAAGTGAGATTGCTTTTTTATGATTGAAAATATCACAGCTCACATTGCTGTGAAAAACATGTATGACTCACATTGGGTAGTTAAATGTCAAACATTCTTTCACACTTGTGCATAATGTAATGTTTGTTAATCCAGAACCCAGTTTCAGATTCACTAGTTCCTTTACTTAAACCTTACAAGTCCCCTCTCTTCCACAATCTGCCCAGAATCCTTTTATACTTGATTGCTTCTCATTGTCAATTGCCAATTAAGTAATTAAAACAATATGCAACATCTTCTTACTTTTAGTTTCTCTTCTTTTATTCCAATCTTGTTCTATCAATCTTTGTGGTCTTTTTATTCCTCTTCCGCATCTGGTTGTTCTTACCATTTCTGTCACTCCTTGATCTTCCTTCTGTATTTTCCTTTGTTTGATCTCCCATGATGTTCATCTATATACCTTTCCTTTTTTTAAATCTTTTACCCAATGTGATCTGGGGTATTCTTATCTTTCCCCCAAATTTTCCCTTTCATCTATCCTTCCGTTTTTAAGTTTTTCCTCCAAAACCATAAGGCTTCTCCTTTTTGGAAAGTTTGTTCCTTCTGTGGCTCTTGCCCTTGTTTCTTCCAATTTCTTTTTCTCTGTATCTGTGGTCTCAATTTTGCTTCCTTCCGTATTAACCCATCCCTTAATCTTCTGAATATCAACATCTGTGCTGGTAACTGTTCCTGGTCATCTATCGGCGTATTTCTGTAGGCTAGTAATGCCAAATGTTTATCTTCCTTTGATTCCTCTGCTTTCTTCCACATTTTTTTTATTGTCTGTATTGTTCTTTCCATCATCCCATTGCTTTGTGGATATCCTGGTGACGATGTTCTGTGGTCTATGGCCCACTGTTTTGTGAATTTTTTATATTCAGCACTCGCAAATTGTGGCTCATTGTCACTTATTAATTCCTTTGGTATTCCACGTCTGGCTAATATTTCTTGTCTATTACTGCTTCTGCAGTTGTATCATTTAATTCTGCATATTCACTATTCCTCGAGGTATAGTCTACCATCAATAAATAATCTTT